ATGAGTTAGTTACGGGATGATGTATTACGGAACGAGTAAAGAGACTTGCCAGTAACGATATTGAACTAGGTATTGGATACCGACGATCGAATCTCGGGCAAGTAACATACCGATGACAAAGGGAACAACGTATGTTGTTATGCGGTCTGACCGATAAAGATCTTCGTAGAATATGTAGGAACCAATATGGGCATCCAGGTCCCGCTATTGGTTATTGACCGGAGACATGTCTCGGTCATGTCTACATTGTTCTCGAACCCGTAGGGTCCGCACGCTTAAGGTTTCGATGACAGTTACATTATGAGTTTATACATTTTGATGTACCGAAGGTTGTTCGGAGTCCCGGATGTGATCACGGACATGACGAGGAGTCTCGAAATGGCCGAGACATAAATATTGATATATTGGAAGCCTATGTTTGGATATCGGAAGTGTTCCGGGTGAAATCGGGATTTTACCGGAGTACCGGGAGGTTACCGGAACCCCCCCGGGAGCTATATGGGCCTTAGTGGGCCTTAGTGGAAGAAGAGGAGAGGCGGCCAGGGCTGGGCCGTGCGCCCCTCCCCCCTAGTCCGAATAGGACAAGGAGAGAGGGGGCCGGCGCCCCCTCCTTCTCTCTCTTTCTTTTCCACCTCGCGAATCCTATTCCAACTAGGATTGGGGAGGGGAGTCCTACCCCCGGAGGGAGTAGGACTCCTCCTGGCGCGCCTCTCCTAGGCCGGCCGCACCCCCCCCTTGAGCCTTTATATACGGAGGCAGGGGCACCCCAGAGGAACACAAGTTGATCCACGTGATCATATTCTTAGCCGTGTGCGGCGCCCCCAGCCACCATAGTCCTCGATAATATTGTAGCGGTGCTTAGGCGAAGCCCTGCAACAGTAGTACATCAAGATCGTCACCACGCCGTCGTGCTGACGGAACTCTTCCCCAACACTTTGCTGGATCGGAGTCCGGGGATCGTCATCGAGCTGAACATGTGCTAGAACTCGGAGGTGTCGTAGTTTCGGTGCTTGATCGGTCGGGCCGTGGAGACGTACGACTACATCAACCAAATGCTTCCGTTGTCGATCTACAAGGGTACGTAGATCACACTCTCCCCTCTCGTTGCTATGCATCACCATGATCTTGCGTGTGCGTAGGAAAATTTTGAAATTACTACGTTCCCCAACAGAACAATGGTGTGAAAGAGATACTGCCCATAATTCATCAGATACACATCATCAAATCAATATGAAATGGAACTCAATGAATGGATATCAAATCTTGTAGTACAGTGGTAAAAATACGGAAAATAAGAAATAAACCACATTTGAATGGATAGCTCTACAACATAGGAAAATAGTTTAGTGTGAACAAAATCAACATATTATTACAATATATAAGAATTTCAAGCAAAAATTGGCGTGGATCTTCTTTACACTATACATGAAATTGGTGGAGCCTAGCTAGAATCACATGATTACTCACAAAAAAAATTACCATCTGGTTTATGCTACAAAAATGAAACAAGAAATAACCTGAATGAACAATCACATTTTCCTGTTATACGAGATTACTTCTGGATTGAGGACGGGTTAAACAAAAATATCTACGAAGATTGACAGGCGTCCACCTCATGGCAATTGAAATAAAACAAAGTCCAATTTGCAGCTTTCGCAGATATTTACAGCCTGGGTGGGGGTCACTATCACCACAATAAGGTTTCCAACCACCCACGTAGGAAATCTAGCGTAGCATAAAAATCCATTCATCATCCTCATTCGCCTTAAGCACAACGTAAAATGTGAGAAGCAAAACTGAGAAGGGTTAGTGTACAGCAGGTGTATGCAGTGCTTTCATAGATATGACACAGCTACAAATGTACCATGCATTGGGAAAAGAAAACCCAACCTTGCAAAAGTAAAAATCCATATTTTTAAACCTGAATGGTCGATGGAGAGGTGTATGAACTGCTGTGAGAAAAAAAATGATTGAATGCTTCCATTGAAAATAGAAGAATATACGAGACTAGTGCAGCGGCCACTCATGATTTGTAGTCACCATGGGACTTGAGTTGCTTAAACAGTCAACTGTAGTCACCATTACCAATTGAAAATTTGATCGTAAGGCAAAGCAACCATCTCATTAAGTACGCGAGCACAAGTAATTCAGAATTTAATGAACATATAGACTTCTGAGGCCACACACAAACTGCTAATTATGTCGATCTTTATGGCCAAACAATCTATGATTCTTTTCTTTTTCTGCAGATTGCAAAGTAAAACAACAGGCAAGCAAATTTAAGCGGCTCCAAATTTGCATCTATGTGGAAAGATGTATATATGTGGGAGAGACGAGAGTAGCGAGCATTCAAATATAAAAGCCTGTATCAGCAACGAGCCACCATGGCAAGGATACAGACCACAACGTGCAGCTCAACTTTTCATTTGATATTCAGGTGCAAGGCACTGCCCTTATTATTCTGAACATCACCAGCCGTCTTACAAACGGAGAGAGAATTAGCATAAAAGTCAAGAAACTGACCATAATTTCCAACTGAGCCATCTCCTCAGGCAAAATATGAATCATTGCGAAGGTGAGATGGCCTTTAGAAGAGCAAAAGAAAAATTAGTTTCACACCATGATCAGAAAAGTTCAGCAGATTTAGAAGCTAGTCAGGTCCTATTCGCCTAAAATCATGTTTGGGATAAGCAATCAACACGGTTCTTCATTTCTGCAGTAGATAGTGGAGGCTTGTCGGCATAGATTGTTGATGTCTTAGCACGTCCTGAATCTTGTTGAGCATCACTCTTTCTGATTTAGAAATCCAAGGTACATCTGAACAGAAGAGAAAATAGGAACAAACATGACCCGTCCAAGAAAGAACAAACCCTTCAGTGAGAAGTAATTGCTTCACTTGAGCACCCAGAGTAAAGCCCAAGAAATCTTAAAGAGCAACTATTCTAAAGTATTTAATCCTATCTCGACAACAATTTCTCAGATCAATTTCCACGCAATTACCTATAGCATTTGTAAAAGGCACTTCATGTCAACTAATAACAGATTGATGATTCTACCAGCAAATTGGTAATTAAAGAGGTGCTTCTTGTAGTATGTATGTATAGAGGATAAACAAATCGATGGTGCACTCAGAGCCTAGCTAAAATATGGCTATATAAAATGGTGTGAACAGGTCAGTTTGGGAAGAGATTAGAAATCAAACAGGCCTGCAATTAGCCAGCCTGGGTGGAATTGTAGGCGGCCATGGCATTGCTTCTCGACGTACGACACTGACCATGACCTTCATCCCTGCAAGGCAACCATTCAGATCTAGAAGGGTGATCAGGGGATGGAAGGGAAGCAGTGAGAGGGAGAGGGAAGGATTGTGAGAAACGTGGAGAACCTGTGCCAGAAGCCCGGAACCAGCTGTCAAGGACATGGAAAATCTGGTTCGGTGATTTGGGATTGATGGCCGGCGCAGAGTCATTGTACGCTCCGTCCCCGCCGCCGCTGTTGGCCTCCCAGTCGCACGAGAGGACGTCGGGGGGTGGGAGAGATGGACAGGGGGAGGAAATCATCCAATGAGAATTCTCCGCCAAGGACCTCGCCGTCGAGCCCGCCGCCAATCACCGCCCGCTAGTCGGTGTTCAGACGGGAACCGCTCCCATCTTCTAATTGAAAAATGGGCTAGCTCCTAATCCCCACGACCATCCAGCGTCAGATAAATTTTTGGCTATAATTTTACATGGGTTTGTGCTAGGTTGAACCAGAGAGTACGCGGCCGACTGACCAGGGTGAAGAATTACTTATTTCTCACCCTGGGTCTTAAATAGAGTTTCTCTCTCTATATATACTAGCATAGCCCGCGTGACGGCACGCCGCGCCCGGTGATGCATTGTATTTATACGGACCATAAAGACCATTGTTATATTTTTATTGATAGAATTGTACGTGACTAAAACCCAAAACAAGTAATGAAAGATGAAAAAGGAGTACATTTATTGCAGCCATGTATGATAAATACTGATGAACGAAAGGGTACTACTAATAAGGTCTACTTATGGGCACCATATACATCCCATTCTATGGAACGTATCATATAGGATGATGCAACCGCATGAAAGTAAATGATTGCAGATGGCCCTAGTTCTGTTAAATCATCCTAGTGTAGCCCCATTTAGGATAGTGCTTGTAATGAAGTGGTAGAGAGCTTTTGCAAATTCCTGTATCTGTCCAAACGGTGTCTTTGCTCCTGTGTATGTCATTATGGTGAACTATGCACTTGAATATAAATTAATACATAATTATCTAAAGCTCATTGTAAACTATCATAAGATGATAGAATTTTTTTTGAAGGGAAGATGACTGAACTCGAAATGAGATTTGGAACACCAAATTGACCAACACCAGAGATAGAACTTCCAGAAATATTCTCTCTCATATCACCAACATCATCAACAGCAACCATTTCTACAAAATATAAAGAAGGATGAGCAACACAGAACAAATACAAAAAATAATCCTAAAATATACCAGACATCTTTTTTTTTTTGCTTCTCACTAATGAAACTCACACTTAATAACATTAAACAAAACATCGTCTAAATCTGTATATTCTTTCAAAAGAATGAAAACCAGCGACCAGTAAACGTCACTGAAGCATGGTCATGCTTTTTGTAGCTCATGAACGCTTGGACCGTGTGACCACGTCCACATGTAACTCTCGAGAACAGTTCAGTCTGAATTCTGAACATAAGATTTTGTCCATTTGTATACTCTAGTAACTCTATGCACTAACAAAGATCATATTGAAAAGCAAGGGCTCGCCTAAAAGTGTCGCTGCTTCTTGAACACACACACATTGTTTAGAGAGTACTATCAAAGGAGCGCGCCCGCCATGTAATTCTTGAAGAACTATTCAGTCTAGAATCTGAATAGGAGCCCTTCTGCATTTGTTATACACCACACATTGACTCCTGTTGAAAAATAAAGAGTTGGCTACCCTAAAATTGCAAGTGAATTTAGGTGGAAACGTCGTACTTCGTGCGCCGGGTGGGAGTAGGGGTCCAGTGCCGCACGGCAGGGCTAAACTGGATAGACACCACGCGCGAGTGGAGCATGCGCAGCTCGATGATCGGCGGGAACGTCAAGCACCAGGGCACCTTGTATTGGTTGATGGAGGCGCCATGAGAGATAGCGTAGTCCATCAGCTCCTCGGACGTGCCGGGCGGGATGATGCGGATCTCGAGCAGCCCGATGGAGCCGTCCGCCACTCTACCATGCATGCACACCGCATTCAGTCCCTCATCCATCTCAAGCGTCGATCGTCGATGGTCTCCTTGTCCACCGTCCAGCCGGCGCCGGCGCCCACCGTCTCCTAGTAGATGAAGTAGTGTCCGGGGATGCTCTTTGTGCTGGTGTACTGTGTACAACGCCATGGACACGCCATGGGGGGAGCCTCGCGATTGCACTGCAAGGAGAGCCATCCACAAAGCAAATGCTATCGCTATGGATAGAAAGACATGGAAGGCAACACACAAAGAAGAGGCACCTCGACTGCTGCCGCCATTATCCGTGCATGCCTCCCACCTACATCTCTCCGTGTAAATCCTCATATGCAGCTCGACGTGCTTGTGGCGCCGTTGCGATACCGCCGCAGCCGTTGCTCTTTTCCGCGAGCATCAGCAGGGGTAATGTGTGTGTGTGGCCGGCCACACGCTTTACTTCCCCGGACCTGGTGTGTAGGGCGCATGCATGCATCATGTTGGAGGACGTCGTGTCCCGTGTCTGTGACCCGTAACCAGCCACCATCGACTCGGGCAGCTGCGCCGCCGCACGTCCTTTCAGGCACGCGCGTGCAAGGTCGCGGCGCTATACGGCCTCGCCCAGCCGCTGGTCCGCGTCACTGCGCGGAGCTCTGCCCGTCGCCTCATCCAGCAGCACATCGGCGTCGCGCGTCGCGCCCCTGCGCGTGCTCTAGCGGCAACACCCCATGTAGTGCCTCATAGCACGCACCAATCAAGCTGCCTTGCCGCACCACCTTGCTGCAGGCAGTCGCTGCTTCTCCTGCCTGGTTCCTACCCGCCGGCTAAGGCAGGAACCGACGGCGAGGTGGGATGTAAGGTGCTGCTGGGAGTTGGGAGACGTGCACAGCAACGCAGGTGAGCTCGAGTGACCCGATGAGGAAAGAGGCCGGCGTTTTATACTTGCGTACGGCGGTCAGGCGGTGCAGCGGTGGCACGAGGTTTTGCTCGAGTCTTCAAGAGAGAAAAATATCTGAAGGAAAGGGGCGAGCATTAACTGGAAACATCCACATAAGCCGGGTCTAGAAACAACAATTAAAGCGGCACCGCCAATAGAATAACGTGGGCAGGTCACATGCACATCGTAATCAACTGCTGCACCGCATGCTGCTCTGATTACAGTGCGTGCATGCGGTCGCTGGCTCGCCCATGTTCCTTTGCCGTCTTATAATTGGACCCAGCTATCCATCCCTGGTCACCGCTTCGCCCAGTTGCTATTGGCCAGAGAAAGGAACAGATCGACCGGAGAAGCACCAAAGAAGGAAAGATGTCAGGTCATAAATCTCAACGTGACAGCGAGTGACCACAGCAACCTGTCCCACATGCAATGAAAAACGCTAAGCCAACCAAACCGAATGCCACACCCGTTCAAAAAATTTGAATGAAATAAATGGATCCACGAGGTGTTTGTACACCACCACACCCAAATTAATACCACGTGCCATGTATAGGTTTACCGTAAGGTCTTTTTCAGCCAAATGGGTGAATCTTGAGGCAAAAACCTTCTCTGGAATAGATGCTTGGGTATATATATTGATGAAAAGCTATTGAATGGATTCCTGAACATGCTGAATTTGCTGTCGGGAGATGTTCAACGTCTCATTATCTATCCTAGGTACTGGTGTAAACTACAGTTTTTATGGGTTGCTCCTATGCATATTATAGCCAACATAACTCAACAGTGGCCTTGCACAATATTTAACTTGCCATCAACATATTATGTCCGGAAGAAATTCTGAGTTTTAGACTGCTTCAACAAATGTTGGGTGTTATATATGTTTTTTAACTGGGTGTTACATATGTTTGAGTAAACCAGTAACCCTTGAACGAATGGTTGTTTGAGAAGTTCTAAAAAATTATAGCCAACAGGTAGCCATTCAAGTTGTATCAGTTCATAGTTGAAGTGAAGAGACAAGGACAAAGTTCGAAGAAAAAATTTTGTAGTCTTTTTCAATTACTTTCTTTCTGTAGTTCGCATGAGAATCATTAATCCTATAAGAAGTTCAAAAGCAAAAAAAAGGAGCGATACAATGTTGATTACAAAAACTTGAAATTCCCCGCTAATAAATAATATACTAAGAAGTTCAAATTAAATTAACAGAGTAGTGCGATTTTTATAATCCAAGAAGAAAACAAAAGCGTCAACTAGAGAAATGTCAACTCTTGAAGTTCAAATTCAATAAATTGGAGAGTTCAAAAAAATGATATGAGTGTAAAAAAAAATCTAATGGATTTTCCCGCCCACGTCTCCTTCCGGGCGTGCTGCTGCGCCGCCTCCTCCGTGCGCGCCGCCGCCCCCGCCACCTTCTTCCGGCGTGAGGCCGCCTTCCCTACCACCTCCTGGCGCACCGCCGCCCCCGGTTTCCGACGCGCCTCCCTCCACCACCGGCCCCACTCGGCCCCCAGCGCGCCTCCCAATGCTGGGGCACCGCCGCCCACAGCTTCTATAGCTACTGCCTGCCTCTGCACCGCCGCTGCGACGGGGAGGGATTTGAATCCGCCATGGCCACTTCATCCCCCAACCACCGCCGAGTCTGCCTCCTCCACCAACTGCGGCCAGGGTCGCCTCATTTCCCGAACGCCGCCATGGACGCCTACCCCAACCATCGCTGCTCCTCAGGCCCCCATGGTTTCACCCCTACCCATCACGATTCGCCACAACAACCCTCCCCTGCTGTTGTTCTCCTCAGCGGTGACCCTCCTTGTTGTCGTTCTGCCCCACCGACGACCCTCCCCTACTGCCGTCTCCGTCCTCCCTTCTTCATTCCTCACCCGCCGGATGGGCTCTGCAGGGATTTTGGCCGCCGGGTCCGGCTGTTCCTACACCCAGTGTGTCTCTGATGACAAGAGATGGATGGGATCGATGGGCACAGACGACGACCACCGGTGCACTCGCAGCCGCGTTTGGACTGCAGCGGCAACCGAATCAGACCTTCCCCCGGCATCAACAATCTTCCTTCTCTTCCTGTTCATCAATGCGCGCCGCCGTCCACTTGTGATGCTCCACCCGCTAGTGTTAAAGACAAACAATATTGTACATGAGAAGTTCATTTATTACTGCCCATGGGAAACTTGGTTATGAGAATTGACCCCAATTTCCCTCTAGTTTTGCAGACCTTGGATTCAAGAGAAAAATGTGTATACAACAAGGGGTGATTTCGAAAGTTCAGGTGTAACGAACATCGAATTTGAAACAAAAAAATGTAAAAAAAATCATGGAATTCAAAGAATAAAAATATAGAGTTTGATAAAAAAATATTAATAGCACGTGAAGTTCATGTTTCAGAAATTCCAAAGTTCACGTGTAGTACATATAGAAGAAAAATCATGAAATGAAAAAAGAGACCATCGAGGCCATTTCACTAAAAAATAAAAAATGCATAAAAATGTCACGACAAAATTCTATAAGGAGTTCAAATTTAAAAACCGAGGAAGGTCGACTTTAAAAAAAATGAAGGTCTTAATATCTAAAAGTAAAATTTGGATGGTAAAAAATTTGAACAAGAAGTTCAAATAAAAATAAGTACTTCAAAAATCTTTATAACGGATTTTCCCCGTTTATAAAAAAATCAGAGAAATCCAAATTAAAAAAGAGGAGCATTTCAAAAGATTTTATAAAAACATATGCCCCCCATTCTATAAAAACAAGAAGTTTAAATTAGAATAAAGGTGCAGCTTCATTGTTTATGTAAAAAAAGGATTTTCACCGTTACTAACCAACAAAACTAAGAAGCTCAAGTTTAAAAAATGGTGAACTTCGATGTCTATAAAAAATTCAAATTTTCACATTATTAAAAATGAAACCAAGAAGTTCAAAATTTTAAAACAAGGAAGTTCAAAAAAACTCAATTTTCCTCGTTACTAAAGAATAAAAACAAGAAGTTCAAACTAAAATAACAGAGAAGTTCAAAGTTTGTAAAAACCTCACATTCTCATTACTAAAGAATAAAATTAATAAGTTTGAATTAAAATAAGGGAACGACTAAAAAACGTTTTCAAAGATTTTACCCATTTTAAAGAAAACTAAGTTTTTCCGCGATACTAAAGATTAAACAATGAAGTTGAAAAATAGAAAAAAGACAAATTCGATGTTTATTTTAAAAGAGGACACAATTCTTTACTCAAAAAATAAAATATGTGAAGTTCAAATTAAAATAACTAGGAAGTTCAAAGTATATTGAACCCTAGGATTTATAAGCTCAAAAACAAAAACCAAAAACAATGCCATTTTGGGCATTTTTCCCCAATACTAAAGATTAAAATCAAGAAGTTCAATTCCAAAAAACGGAGTAGTTAAATGTATGTAAAAAACTCAGGTTTTCTAGTTAGTGGAGAATAAAACCAAGAAGTTCAATTGGAAAAAGCGGAAAAGTTTGATATTTATTTGAAAAACCGGATTTTTCTAGTTATTAACGAATAAAACCAGTAAGTTCAATTCCAAATAATGAATAAGTTTGATGTTTCTAAAACCTCCAATTTTCACATTTCTAAACATACACAATGAAGTTCAAATAAAAAAGGTAGAGTGGTTCGATGTCTATAAAAAACCCAGATATTTTCATGTAATCGAGAGAAGTTCAAATTGATAATTGTAAGAAGTCCAAGTACTACACTATGTGCATTTTATTTGAAAAAAGAATGAAAAGGCAAAGGATAAAAGTTTTGTTTCTAGAAGTTCAAGTGCTCGGCCCGAGAAAGTTTAAAAAATCTTGTGGGAGAGGTTGAACAAAAAAACGTGACAGAAGTTCAACATGAAAACAGCGGGAAGTTCATCTACTACACGGAATGCGTTTTAGATGAGAATAAAAGAATACAAACGACCCTGCACGGTTCAAAGATTATATTATGAGACTCCAAACTTCATAAGCTTTCCAACCGTATATTATATGCTACACTCCGATGAGCGGTTTAAATTTTTTCATGTATACCGTTTAAAACACATTTATATATATTCAAAAATTTCTTTTGAACTGTCGCGACCATGAAAACTGATCAACACGGGAAAGTTGCATGTTTTCAACAACTTTCCATCGATATATCATTTGCTCAATTCCGGTAAGTGGATTGGGAGTTACGACTAAAAAACAGCACGCCAAAAACAGGGTGAAGGTCAAACAGACATGCACGAGACGTTCAACTACTTCACGCAGTGCATTTCCATTCGCAATGAAGGCAGAAATCATGATCTCATCATTTTCTAATTCACTTTAAAACGACGGGAATATCACATGTGTAAGTTCAAGTCCTCGGTCGGAGAAAGTTAAAAAAATTATTGTGAGAGATGTTTGTACAAAAGAAATATCATTTGTGTA